CTCCCTATCTATCTATCTATCTATCTATTTATTTTGACAGGCTCCAAGGGCAGCCTTCTTGTCTTTCTTTTTTTATGTTGACATTGTCTTTTCATCCTTCTGTCATTTTCCCCCTTTCCCCTACAAGAGGGTCGGTAAAGAGAAGCATGATTTTTGTAAATTCCTTCTTCAAATGCCCAAAAGAAAACAACCTGGCCCTTAGGTCTTATGGTGTTAATTTTATTCTCTAAAGACTCTAATAAACATAGAAAAACTAGAAAGTTATGAAATTCCTAGTATCCAAAATATAGAGTACTCATACAACCTAATAGCAAAAACAAAACAAAACAAAACAAAAACCCACAAACCAAAAAACGAAAAAGCAAACCCACAAAATCGAATAACCCAATTAGAAAATAGGCAGTGGTTCTCAAAAGACATTTTCACAAAGAGGACATTTATAGATAGCCAACAGGTATAGGACAAAGATGCTTAACATCTCCAATCATCAGGGAAATGCAAATCAAAACCAGATAAGGTATCAACACCACCTGTTAGAATGGTTTTTATAAAAAAGATAAGAGACCACAAATCCTGATGAAGATGAGGAAAAAAAGGAATCCTTGTGCACTATCGGTGGGAATGTAAATTGGTGCAGGCACTATGGAAAACAATATGAAAGTTTCTAAAAATAATTAAAAATGGGACTATCATATGATATAGCAATCACACTTCTGGGTATTTATACACAAACAAACAAAATAAATAAATAAAAGCACACCTCAAAAAGATATATACTCCCATGTTCACTCCCATATTTATAATAGCCAAGATATGAATATAAACTAAGTGTCCATTGATAGATGAATGGATAAAGAAAATGTGGAGTATGTGTGTTCATGTGTATGAATATTATCCAGCCATCGAAAGGAATTTAATCTTGTCATTTGTAACAGCATGAATGGACTTTAAGGCATTACACTAAGTGAAATAAGTCAAATAGAGAAAAGCAAACAGTGTATGATTTGTTTATATGTGAAATTTTAAAAGAAAACACTAATCTCACATAAACAGAGAATAGATTGATAGTTGCTAAAGGCAGGTGTGGAGGGGTGCACAAAAGGGGTGAAGGGAGTAAAAAGGTACAAATTTCCCTCTGAGATTCGTCAGGCTGTTTCATGTTTCCAGGCCTCAGTTAGAAGATAACTAAGTCATGGGGATATAGTGTACAGCATGGGGGCTATCGTGAATGATACTTATTGCATATTTGAAAGTTGCTAAAAGAGTAGGTATTCAAAGTTCTCATCACAAGGAAGAAAATTCTGTAACTAGGTATGGAGATGGTTGTTGACTAGACTTACTGTGGTGATCACTTCACAACCTATACAAATATAGAAACATTATGTGGTACACCTGAATCTAGTATAATGCATGTCCATTATACCTCATTAAAAAATGTACTGATAAAGAAAATTCCTGAAAGTCTTTTTAAAGTCTTAACTGTGATTGTACGCCTGAGGTGGTCCTAGATATAAAACGTCTTGAGAAGCCTTTGCATTAGCTTGCACAGGTTGCCATAACAAAGTACCATAAACTAGGTGGCTCACACATCAGGAATTTATTATCTCACAGTTCTGGAGGCTGTTAAGACCAAAATCAAGGTGTCAGCAGGGTTGGTTCTTTCTGGGGGATATTGGGGGAAATCTGTTCCATTCCTCTCTCCTAGCTTCTGGTGGTTTGTTAGAAATTTTTGGTGTTCTTTGGCTTGTTGATGTATCCCCCAATCTCTGACTTTATCTTCACGTGGTGTTCTACCTGCGTGCTTGTCTGTGTCCAAATTTCCCTCTTTATGAAAACTGCAGTCATATTGAACCAGGGGCCCACTCTAGCCCAGTCTGACCTCATTCTAACTTAACTAATTACATCTGCAACAACCTTGTTTCCAAATAAGGTCACATTCTGAGGTTCTGGGAGTTAGGACTTCAACACATGAATTTTGGGAGGACATACTAGTAATTCAACCCATAATAACCTCCCTCTTTGATTTGTTTATTCCTGAAAGTAGATCATCAAATTGCCTCTCCTTTAATACATAAGCCTAACAACGTAGCCTCTGTCTGAGGTAAGTTGGAAGAAGCAGAGAAGTGATTGCTACATCACAGAGAAAAGAGCCAGTGACATAGAAGCTTTGCTGAGCATAACTTTATCTTCTCGAATGTCAATAATTAAAAGACATGCCTATGGGGAAAGGATATATCAAACTTGTTGAGAGTGCATTAACGAGGGGAAAAAAAAAAGTCCTTATCACCCTTGGGACTGCCAAATTCATCTTTTTTCTCTCTCTTTACCTTTTCTTACCACCTCACACTATGCTTCAGCAAACTAAGGTAAGTAATGATAACAAGAAAATATCACTATGGAACATGTGTGTGTGTTAAACAAACAAACTGGAAAGTAATAAATAAAAAGGAGGAAAGAAATATAAACAAAAATGTAGATTAAAAAAAACAACTTTTCAGAAAACTATCAAAGAAACAGATAAAACATTCCAACTAGTTCTGCATAGTCTCAAATCATAGATTTCATGATCTTTCTACTAAAAGTATCTATCTACAAAGAGATTCAAACATTTAAAGAAGATTTTATAGGATAACCTAAAAAACTTAAAAAGCAAGTTAGCATAATGTCCCCCAGGTTCATCCATATTGTAGCATGTGTCAGGATTTCTTTCCTTTTTAAAGCTGAATAATGTTCTATTGTATGCATATACTTTTTTTTTTTTTATCCATTCACCTGCTTATGGACATGTAAGTCGTGTCCACTTTTTGACTATTGTAAGTAATGCTACTATGAACATTCATGTACAAGTTTATGTGTGAATATATTTTTTAAATTATCCTGGGTATATATCTAGCAGAAGAATTGCTGGTTCATATTATAACTCTGTTTAACTTTTTGAGGAACTGCCAGACTGTTTTTCACAGTGGCTCCATCATTTTACACTTACATTCCTACCAGCAACATGTAAGGGTCCCATTTTTCTATGTCTTTACTAACATTTGTTATTATAACTTTAAAAAAAATTAGAGCTTTTGTTATTATATCTTTTTTTAAAAAAAATTAGATATTATGGTGAACTGTACACAAAATAAAATTTACCACTTAACCATTTTTGAGGGTACAGTTCTGTTGCATTAAGCATATTCATATTGTTGTACATTCATCACCACCACTCATCTCTAGAGCTTTTTCGTGATCCCAAACTGAAACTCTAACCCTAACCCTAATAACTATACCCATTAAACAACAACTCCTATCACCTCTGCCTCTTCACACTGGGCCCAGATCAACCATCACTCTGTTTCTGTGAATTTGACCACTCCAAACACCTCATAAAAGTGGAATCAAAGAGTATTTGTCCTTTTGTTATTGGCTTATTTCACTGAGCATACTGTCTTCAAGGCTCACCCCTGCTGTTGCATGTGTCAGGATCTCCTTCCTTTATAAAGCTGGATGGTATTTCATTGTATATATCCTGCTATTTTCTGTGTTGTTGTTGTTGTTGTTGTTGTTGTTTGGGGGGGGGGTTGCTAATTGCCGTTCTAATGAATGTAAAGTGGCATATCATGATTTTAATTTATTATTATTTTTTTAATCCTCACCCAAGGATCTTTTTTCCATTGATTTTTAGAGAGAGAGGAAGAGAGAGGGAAAGAGAAAAATTGATGTAAGAAACACAATGATTGGTTGCTTCCAGCACGAGCCCCAACCAGGCAGGGCCCGGGCTGGGGAGGAACCTGTAACCGAGATATTGGCCCTTGATCAGAATAGAACCCGGGGCACTTTAGTCCGAAGGCCGATGCTCTATTCCCTGAGCCAAACCAGCTAGGGTGATATATTGTGATTTAGATTTCCCTAGTGGCTAATTTATGTTGAGTGTTTTTTAGTGTATGATTATTGGCTATTTGTACATCTTCACTGGAGAAATATCTATTCAACTCCTCTGTCCATATTTAATTTCAATTATTTGTTTTAATTGTTGAGTTGTAAGAGTTATTTATTTATTTTTTTAAATAAAGCACCTTTATTGTTGAGAGTATTACAAATATCCCCTTCCCCTCTTTAAACTCCCCCCCCCCCAACTAGGTTCCTGCCTTGCCCCAGGCCTTCACCACCATATTGTCTATGTTCATGGGCATGCATATGTTATTTGGTTAATTTCTTCCCGCACCCTCTCCTCTCTCTGAGATCTACCACACTGTTCCATGTCTCCGCTCTCCGGTTCATTAGATTCCACATAAATAAGTGAGATCACTTGATGTCTATTTTTCTCTGACTGGTTTATTTCACTTAGCATAATCATCTCCATGTCCCTCAAAGGGTAATAGATCCTCTCTTTTTTACAGCTGCATAGTATTCCATTGTGTAAATGTACCAGTTTTTTGTTTTTTTTTGTTTTATCCATTCATCTACTGATGGGCACTTAAGCTGTTTCCAGATCGTAGCTATTGTAAGTGACGCTGCTATGAACTTAGGGGTGCATATATTCTTTCTGATTGGTATTTCAGGATTCTTAGGATATATAGTCTAGAAAATAGGTCCTTATCAGATATATTACTTACAAATATTTTCTCCCATATTGTAGGTTGCCTTTTCACTTTCTTGATACTCTCCTTTGATGCACAAAGGTTTTTAATTTTTTGAGTCAATTTACCTAGTTTTTCCTTTGTTGCTTATACTTTGTGTCATATTAAGAAATCATTACCAAACCCAGTAGTCAGCAAATTCATTAGTCAACAGAGCCAAATATCAACAGTACAACAATTGAAATTTCTTTTGAGAGCCAAAATTTAAAAAGTTAAACTATATAGGTAGGTACATTGTTATTAACTTAATTAAGGTATGTGGTATTTTGTGGAAGAGCTCAAGAGGCCAAAGAGTCACATGTGGCTCGAGAGCCACAGTTTGCTGACCTAACCCATTGTCAAACAACTCTATAATTTTATAGTTTCAGCTCTTACATCACAGCAACCCCTGCCCTCCATCTGTGGCTTCATTTTCCACGGTCTCAGTTACCATTCAGTCAACCACTCTGAAAATACTAAACGGAAAATTTTAGAACTAATTTATACAATTCTAAATTTCATGCTCTTCTGAGTAGTGTGATAAAAATCTTGCTACTTTCTGCTTAGCAGAGATGTAGCTCATCCCTTTGTCTAGGATATGCATGCTGTATACACTCCCCACCCATTAGTCACTTTTAGCTATCTTAGCTATCAGATTGATTGCCCCAGTATTACAGTGCTTGTGTTCAAGCAACCCTTATTTTACTCAATAATGACCTCTAAACTTTCAGAATTTTATTTTTATTATAATATGTTGTTATAATTGTTCTAGTTTATTAGTTATTGTTAATCTCTTATTGTGACTAATTTAGAAATTAAACTTTATCATAGGTATGTATGTACAGAAAAAAAACTACATAATATCTATAGGGTTGGGTACTACCCGTGGCTTCAGGCATTCATGGAGGGGTGTGTGTCTTGGAATGTATCTCCCACCAATAAGGGGAGACTACTGTATATCTAAGATCCATTTTGAGTTAATTTTTGTACCCTCTGTAAGGTGGATGTAAGAATTCATTCTTTAGCATGTGGATACCCAGTTGTCCCAGACTTGTACCAGCAGGAAATGGGCTGTGGAAATTGTACAGTCTCACTTCCCAGTGCCACTTGGAATGTGGCCATGGAAGATAAAGAACAAGGAAGAGCCTTCCGAATGTGGCGCCAAGAAGCAGAGAAATTTGTGACAAAGGGTATTCATCCTTGAGAGCGGAACCAGGATATAATCATAGAACTTCCACTGACAGGCAAAGGACCTTCACAATTACCACCCGGGAAGATGCTATTATTTAAGGACCTGGACTGCTATGAGACTCACATTTTTCACTGAACTTTGGTTCTAATGCAATGTATCTAGCTATGGGGAAGCACTTGGGAATTATTGTTATGGGGAAGAGTGGAGGGATTCACAGACAATGACGGCATTTTATAGTGTGCTAGGCACAATGCCTTGTCTTACTTCACATAGTTACTCTCTTAGGTTTGTACTATTATAATGTCCTTCTACAGGTGGGGTCACTCAGATGGGGTCAAGTAACTTTGTCAAGGTTACACAATAAGTAAGTCTTGGAACCAGAATTTAAAGGTGTGGGACCCAACTCCAAACTGGTCACTCTTAATTCTATCAAACCTGATAGTCACAGAAATCTATTGGGCAAGATAAAAGATATACACACTCTGAAAGTGACACAAGGCATACACACAAATAACTTCAGGGCAAGGGTGTGGGTTATCTAATAAAGAAGGCATAGATATGTTTCAACCAGAATACAGTAGATGACTATCACTAACTTTTAACCTTGTTAGGGACTTATTTATTTATCAGTTCCCATTACACCATCTGGCTCACGGCAGGTGCTCAATTGATATTTGGTGAGTGAATGAAGAATGAATGCCAGAGTTTTGTAATATTAGTCTAAGGTCCTTGAGCAGGTGTGCCAAATTTGCCCTCACACCTCCGGAGTCCAGTGCATTTAGCACTCAACAAATGGTCCTTGAACTAAAGTGAGAGAAATCCACACTATGGTTTTACTCTAAGGCTGCTAGGCTCATTGTTCTCAGTTAGCTTTTCTTTACAATGAAAGGCATCCCCCTTCCTAACTATACAGACCTTGTGAAGGATTGGGTTTTTCAAAAGATTCTTACTTGCTTTAACCTCTTGTGAGCTTAGGTTATATTCACTAGGTGAACTTGAAACCTCAGGTTTTTAGTCACTGTCTTTTCCAACCTATATGGCCAGTTCCCCTGGTGAGTTTGCTCACTGACATTGGATCCCTTCCCCACATATTTAGCTATACTGCTAGTCATCTGCACCTTTCTCTGCTGTAGTTATTGAAAAACCGTATCAATTTCATTTACTAAACCTGTATGAGAGCAAGATCCAGAATTGTGAGGGTATAGGGGCGACTGAGAAAGCCATGTTTCTTGCTCTCTGTGGCCCATAAAATGTTTCTATGTGTTTTAAAGACTGGATAATAGGAATACAATGGTAAAAATAAAACACAAACATTTCTGCTCCTTATCCCTACAAGGAGCAAAGCGATTAAAAAAAAAAAATGGCACTTGAATATGTCTTTCCAATGGAGGCTGGAGAGAACCACAAATAAATATCTTACTTTTGCTGGTCACAACTGAACTATACCTTCACAGTTATTTTCTGGAGACCCAGATTTCCAGTCAATTCCATCTGTATCTACAAAAAGAGAAAGGGGGAGGGGGAGATGCATTTTGATTCAAAAAACATCAGGCAAGACAGGCAAACAAAACAGTAGTGAGTTAGAGATCCTACGAGGTCTATTTTAATTTAAAAAGCAGTTTTAAAACTATAATTGACAGCACTACGGTAACAATAGAATGATAACAAACCGGTGGGGGATGGGGGACACTGGGCGCCAGGGTAGTTCCCCCACTTTCAGGAGCATGCTGAGCTTCCTGGGGCTCTCTCCTCGCCGAGCTACCCGGGGCTCTATTTGCCTCCAAGGCACCAAAAACAGATAAACTTTTACCTAGCCGCTCCCACCACACCTAGCATGGAGCTGCTGCTTCTAGGGTGTGGGCCATCCAGGGAAGGAAGGAGTCTGGTCGCCTGTCGGACAACAATGACAGTTTTGTCTTTTTTTTTTTTTTTTTTAATGGAGCTACATTTCCAATAAGAAAAACCACCAGTTGTGAAAAGTAGAGCTACATCTGTCACCCTCGGGCCGAAACACCTCTTGGGAACATTTGTCTTTGCAGCACCCCAGGTGAGGCCCAGGGTCCCCTTGGGAGTGGCTGCCCCTGGGAGGAGAATTCCTTTTGGTTCTAAAAAGTTCGGGCGAGGCAGCCTGCCTGAGCGCGGGGCCGGCGAGCTTGCCCCGTCGTTCTGTGCAAAAGTCAGTTGTGGCCGGAGCTCCTGGGCTGTTTGGCTTTGAGCGCGCACTGCCCCTGCCCTCTCCCTTCCTGCAAAAGGCCAAGGGTTTCTGACCCATCATGGCCCAGGCAGAGTTCACGCTTAGCCGCCGACCTCTGGGCAGAGAAAGCAATCGCGCCGAAAGGCGAGAGCACGGAATACACGCGGAATCGGAGAGAAAGAGAGAGAGAAAAAAATGTTCTTGGCTGCGCGCGCGTCGGCCGCCCCGGGGGGCACTCTTCCTTCCAGGAGACCCCTCCACGCTCCCCGTGGCCACACCCATCCCCTCGGCCGCCGAGTTGGGAAACGGAGGCGTGAACAAGGAGGGGGTGGGTACGGCAACGTGCGCCCGTGACCCTCGAGGGCGAGGTGGCCCTAAAAAAAGGCCACGCGCGGGGCGCGGAGGCTGCGGGAGGCCGGGAGGCGGGGCGGGGGAGGAGGAGGCGCGGGGGGTCCGGCCGCGGAGGTTCCGGGGCGGCGGGAGGGGCAGCACCTGAGGAATCCGCCTCCGGCCGCCGCGGTGGCCGCCGCCTCGCTCCGCCCCGGGGAGCTGAGCGCGCGACCTGCGCGCCGGCCCGCGAGACGCCAGCCACCGGCGGCGGCGCTAGCACCTCGGCGCAGGGCGGCCGCGGCGGCGAGCGGAGGAGGCGCAGCGCCGGGACCCGGACTGGGGGTTGGGGGAGACGATCCCGGGCCGAGGCGAGGGCCACCCCGCTGGTCCCCTCTGCCCTCGCGCCGCTCCAGGGCCAGGTGAGCGGCTCGCGAGGGCGCCGGGCGCGCGGGGCCGGGCGGCGGGAGGGGAGAGGTCGCCAGGCGGGCGCACGCCTCTGCGGGGCCGGCGCTGCCCGGGCGCGGGCGGTGGACACTGGCTGCGCGGGGCGGCGGACTTTTTCTGGAGAGGGAGGACCGGGAAGGCGGAGCGGGGCTGGGAGCGTGTGTGTGCGGGTGTGCGTGTGCGTGTGTGTGCGCGCGCGTGGCGAGGGTAGGTGCCGCCGGTGCGTCCGGACCCGAACCCGTCCTCCCGGCAGCTCCGGGGCGGTCCGCGCGCCCTGAGGCCGGAGGCCTGTCACCCCAGCCCTCCGCGCGCCTTTGTGGCGGGAGCGAGGGCTCCCGGACGTGGGTCAGGGAGGCTGTGGCGCGGCGCGGGGCGGAGGTGGCGGCGAGGGGCGTGCCCCGCCCGGGCCCCGGAGCGCCGGGGCTGCGGGGGGCTCCGGGGGCCGGAGGGCGGCGGGGCGGGCGGCGCGGGGGCCGGGAGGGGATGCGGAGAGCCCCGCCGGGGGAAGCGGAGCGCGTCCGGCGGTGGCCGGGCGTTTCTCTGCCCGCGTCCCCGGGTCTCCGGGCTCCGCACTAAATGTCACTTGGTCGCGAGCGCGCGCGTGCCTCCCGGCCATCGCGCCCGTCCCCCGGCGGCGGCGGAGGGCCACTCGCGCGCCCCTGTTCCGAGGGAGACACAAAGGGCCGTGCTGACAGCTGACCCTGACACCAGGGGACCGCCGCCGAGTGAGGTGTGTGCCCTGGCCGGTCGGTCGAGGGTGTCACGATGGGGCGGTTTGCTTGAAGTAAATCAATTCCCTCCTGTCGCTCTTCTGAGCCCCGTGGAAGGAGATTCTGTGCGGATTCCGTCCATCCGTGGGCTCTCTCGATTGAACTGCGCCCACGCAGGCAGCAGACCCCGTGCATCCATCTGCAGGGGAACTGCCCCGAGGCGGCCGGACCCCGGAGGGACTCGCCATCACGTTCCTTTCCTCCGTGGACCTGGCTGCTTCAGGGTCTTTGCGCGCCCCACCCGGCCCTCTGTCCCCTGTCCACGAGGTGGAAACCAATTTTTAATTTTTACTTTCCACACCTTTAGAATCGCCCCCCCCCCCCCACCAAAAAAAAAAAAAGCTGGGACATCTCTTTTTAAAACCCAGCCATTTAAATATGGGGAAGAGGTTTTCCCGCACAAGGTTTTTGAATGAAATGGCCCCTCTAACACATGTACTTATGGAATTCTGCTTTGAATTTTGTCACTGTGTTGGTTCTTTTTTCTGGTTGCATATATCTATCTGGTTTTACAAATGGCAATCCTGGAAACTCATTTAAAAGAGGAAATTTAAAAATAAGTGTTTTATTGAAAATATTTAGTCGTAGAATTGTACGCATGTGTTTAAAGGGAAATTTCTAATTAGTGTACATTGAAAAGTAATATGCATAGAGTAGAAATTTCTGTGTAATGTAAGCTCGCTCTCTCCCACCCCATCTTCCCAATGTGCTCCTTCTCCTCCCCAGAGGCCACTGTTGTCAATTTCTTGTGTATCCTCCCATAAGCTTCCTATTAAGATGGAATTACATTATGGCACTAAAGGGAGAAAGGAACTGAATGTAAGTAAAGAATGAATTCTATATATCAATGGTGATAGCTGTTAATTTGATATTCACTCATGGTGACATTAGAACCTTTTATTTGGCCTAGGGAAGACTTACTGCAGCTGAAGACTAGTTAGAGTACTCAAATTCTTAGAGCAGGTAGGTATCCATTAGAAAGCAGAACTATTAAGCTATTATCCCACCTGCACGCCCATCACCAGTGGATTTCATAGCCTTTGTTGACCTTTTTCTCCACTTTGGAACTCTTTATGAAGTAGAGAATGGGAACAATGAGTTTATTTTGTCTAGTGCCATATATAGCTGAAGACATTGGAAGGACATATGCGTACTCTTGTTAACATGACAATATAAAAACATTAATGGTAAGAGAGAAATATGAAGGCCAAGTTTGAGACATTTGTTCGCATCTTCTAGTTGCAAGTCTGGGTTTGCTCTGGCTAAATGAAGTCACTTCCTTAGAAATGCTTTTGTCTCCCCCTCAATTAAAGGAATTGAACTATGGGGCTTCTAAGTGTCCTTCTAACTCCAAACTTCTGTGATTAAAAAGTTTCTGTAGGTGTCCTAAGACTGCCTACCTATAGGTAACCCAGTTGGACCTGTGGAATGACAAAATAAATTCCTCAACGGTAAATTCATTTATAGATGTTTAAACTACATTTCTGCTCTTATGATATTGATATTATTGGAGGACAGCTGCTTTACTTTTCCACACAGGGTCTGTTTTTCACTGAAAGAGGTCAAACCTTGGGCTGAATGGGCCTCTGTGCATCACCTTGTGTGGCTAAGGAGAGTGAATTTTCTTCACAGCTCAGGGTATCATTTTGGGGGAAATTACTCTTCCCAGCATCTTACTTTTCTTTTCTTTTTTCTTTTTTTGTTAAAGTGGTAGTAAAGTTAATGTATCTACTTCAAAGGAACTTGATGTGACTTAATTAGTAATTCTCAAAGGTATTTAGAAAATGAATATCCCTTATAGCTAAGATATTTTAGCTACTTTTATACTTCTTCACTTAAAGATAATGTTATTAGTAGAAAATTTAGCTACTTTTATACTTCTTCACTTAAAGATAATGTTATTAGTAGAAAAATTTTAAAATACCTGGAACCCCTGGGCTAATGATTCCTGGATGGACACAGGGAGCTGAGGAGTCATTGCAAGGTTATGATAGTAAAAAAAATTATCTTACCTTAGTCATTGTGTATGATCTCAATTAAGAGATTTCAAAAGAATGCTGTTAAGTGGTGATTGCAAATGCCATTGATGTTAAGATCTCGTACTTTAAATCTTATGTAATTATTAAGTATTATGTAAATTATTTTAAACAAGTCTGTAATGTAAATAAATTATAGTGAAGTTTTAGAAATTGTTATTACAACTAGAAATTGTTTTGAACTGAAATGGATTTGTAGGGATACTTAGAGCAATCTTGATTGACAAAATTGATAGAAACAAAATAAAATTAAGTAGTAATAGTGAAATTCTAAAATGGAATCATTTTTATTTTTCCAGTTTTCTTCCTAGTCTTGCCATATGAACATACACTTTTACAGATGTCTCACCATATTGCAGACACATTTTTACATTGATTTTTCATAAACATTTTGCTATAATTCATTTCCTATTATTTGTAATTAGTTTGTCATACCATAATTTATTAGCCTTTCCTGTATTTTGAGATTCCCCCCTCCCCGTATTTAAAAAATATATAATGCCCATCCTCATGAGTATAATTTTATTATTCTTTTTAAAAACTTCCTTAAGATTGTTCCCCTGGAACAGTGGTCAGCAAACTCATTAGTCAACAGAGCCAAATATCAACAGGACAACTATTGAAATTTCTTTTGAGAGCCAAATTTTTTAAACTTAAACTATATAGGTAGGTACATTGTTATTAATTTAATTAGGGTACTCCTAAGCTGGCCTTTGCTAAAAACTTAAGGGGCCAAAGAGCCGCATGTGGCTCGCGAGCCGCAGTTTGCCGACCACTGCCCTGGAGAGTCAGTATGGTGCAGTTGTAATTGGGTGGGCCTTAAAGTAAAGGTTCAGGGTCCAAAACCTATCTCCATCACTTATTGACAATACTAGGCAAATAATTTATGTTCTCGGAGCTTTCTAACCTGTAAAATGGGTTTAGTAATAACTCTCTATAAAGTTGTTGAAATAAAAAGTTGCAATACATGAAAACACATACCTGGGTTTCCCCAAAAATAAGACATTCTCCGAAAATATGACCTACTTACAGGTTCCCTTCTGAGTGAAATATAAGGCATTCCCCCGAAAATAAGGCCCCCCCCTCCCAGGCTAAACATGAGAGATTTGGTCCACTGATTCTGAAAGAAATGGAGTCACAAGAAATTCACCAGGAAATTCAGGAATTGGATTGTTTTGATGATGTTCCAGAAGATGATGACATGATTGTCATTGAATAAATGAATAAATTCTTGAGACTGTAGGATTCACAGTTTGTCTGGTTTGTGTTGACAACTACCGTACTACTGTACCATATACAGGTAATAAATTTCCTTTATTTTCATTTAACAATAAATGTGTACCGTATTCTTCTTCATGGAAAAATAAGACATCCCCTGAAAATAAGACCTAGCGCCTCTTTGGGAGCAAAAATTAATATAAGACACTGTCTTATTTTCGGGGAATCAGGGTATACTAGTAAATGTTAGCTCTTATTTTTATTAGGAATTTTTCTGATTTCTGATAATCACCAACTTACTTTCCAAAAGGATTATATACATTTATACCTCATTAACAATCCGTGTGTGTGCGGGCTTGTTATTTGAAAACATTTATATTATTGTGACTGACTTGTGTAGCCAGTGTAAAATTGTATCCCTTTGTTTGTGAGTTGTGTTTCTTGGTCTTGGTAGAAGTGAGAGGGACCTTTTTCAGCAGGATTGCTACTGTGTTCAACATGGGCGGGTAGGTGCTTGCTTCATCACCTCAGTCATTTTGAACTAATCTGTAAGATGGGCAGACAGGACGGGTCCCTGACAGAATCAAATTTTCTAATTGACTCTTTCAAATTAATTATAGTTTTGTGTCCTCAGCCTATAGTGATTTTTATTAATTATTATTGTTTAACCTTAGAAACGTAGCCGTCAAAATTAATAAGGAATATATAACAATCCTACTTAAGTGGAGAAGAAACCCTCTCTTTTTTTTCTTCTTCTTCTTTTGAAAGGCTGATTTATCATTAGCATGATTGTGATCACAATCAAGTGGATTTTTACTAGGAATGCTTCTTCCAA